ACCATCTATCATGCTGAAACTTAAATTTTCCGAAGGTGGTAATTAATCAAAAAAGTATGATTTAAATGATAAAGAATTCCATTTGGTAAAATTGAGCCGAAAGGCACCAGGTAGGTTTCCCTTTACCGCTGTTGCAGTTTTGAACGCAAAGTTTAAGTGCGATCAAGTCAGGCTTATGTTTAGTGAAAAGATAATATTTTAGAAGAAATAAAATTAAACAAGCGCAGGAAGAAATAGAACTAAATAATATTAACTCAATTTAACAATCAACTCAAAGGCATAGAAAAAGTACAAATTTTTTTTTTTGCTTTTGAGGAATTGAATTTTTAGTAAATGCACTGAAGAAGGGCTGCAAAAGTGCTTAATATATGCCGGCCAGTTTTGGTTGACACCTATCTATGCGACGCAAAGTTCCTGATTCCTGGGATAAATATAACTAAATAATAAAAACTCAATTTAAAAATCAACTTAAAGTCATCGAAAAAATACTGCATTTTCTTTGCTTTTGAGGAATTGAATTTTCAGTACATGTACTGAAGAAGGGCCGCAAACGTGCTTAATATTTTCCGGACAGTTTTGCTTGACGCCTATCTATGGGACGAAAGGTTCGGGATTCGGAAAATTGGCAGTTTCGAAAACGCCTTCAAACGTGGCGTGATACCACCCGCGTTCCGGTGATGACGAATAGTTGTATCATTGCGCCTTAGCAATGCTATGGAAGATTGATATTGAATCAGCCTCCACGCTGCGGCCTGGTCAGTTTCCCTTTACCGCTGTTGCAGTTTTCACCGGAAAGTTTAAGTGAGATCAAGTTAAGCTTGTTTGTGGTGAAAAGATAATATTTTAGAAGCATTAAAAGTAAACAAGCGCAGGAAGGAATATAACTAAATTACATGAACTCAATGTAACAATCAACTTAAAGGCATCCAAAAAGTACTGCATTATTATTTTGCTTTTGAGGAATTGAATTGTTCGAACGTGTACTGAAAGAGGGCTGTAAAAGTGCTTAATATTTTCCACACAGTTTTGCTTGACGCCTATCTATGCGACGCAAGGTTTCAGATTCGGAAAATTGGCAGTTTGGAAAACGCCTTCAAACGTGGCGTGATACCACCCGCGTTCCGGAGAGTACGAATAGTTGTATCATTGCGCCTTCGCAATGCGATCGAAGATTGATATTGAATGGACCACTAAACAAGGTACGAATTTAAGCATTCTGAGACATATTTCTTAACCAAAATCACGCAGAACACGATTCGCGCAACGAAAATGATGGAAACCAACTCCTAACGAAGATATAACGTTTGTATTTCACATTGGTCACGAGGAATTTGAACTGCCCGCTGACAAGAAACTCAAAGATCTACGTGAAACAAATCGCGCACTATAACGGTTTCAGCAAGCTTCTCAATCGAGTAATGTTCATTTCCCACCATGTGTTGTTAAAACTGTACGCAATTTGCTATAGCTGAGCCAAAGTGTCAAGATAGAGGTTACCAGATTTGTATATCGTAAAGACTATCACGATAACGTTTATTGCGCGATGTGAATTACGTAGAGCATTGAGTTTTCATGAGCGGGTGGTTTGAATCCACGCATCAAGAATCATAAAATATCTTCGTAAGGAGTTCATTTCCGTAAATTTCGTTGTGTGCATCGTGTTTTACAAGAAATTTTGGTTAAGAAACATGTATCAGAATGCTGAAATTCATACCTTATCTAGTGGTCCATTCGTCTCCACGCTGCGGCCTGGTCGGTTTCCCTTTACCGCTGTTGCAGTTTTGACCGCAAAGTTTAGGTGTGATCTTAATAGGCTTGTATTTTGTGAAAAGATAATATTTTAGAAGAATTAAAAGTAAACAAGCGCAGGAAGGAATATAACTAAATTATATGAACTCAATGTAACAATCAACTTAAAGTCATCGAAAAAATACTGCATTTTCTTTGCTTTTGAGGAATTGAATTTTCAGTACATGTACTGAAGAAGGGCTGCAAAAGTGCTTAATATTTGCCGGCCAGTTTTGGTTGACGCCTATCTATGCGACGTAAGGTTTGGGGTTCGGAAAATTGGCAGTTTCGAAAACGCCTTCATATAAGGCGTGATACCTTCCGCGTTCCGGAGAGTACGAATAGTTGTATCATTGCGCCTTAGCAATGCGATGGAGGATTGATATTGAATCAGCCTCCACGCTGCGGCGTCATCATTTTTTCTTTACCGCTGTTGCAGTTTTGACCGCAAAGTTTAAGTGTGATCAATTTAGGCTCGTATTTAGTGAAAAGATAATATTTTAGAAGAATTGAAAGTAAACAAGCGCAGGAAGAAATATAACTAAATAATATAAACTCAACTTAACAATCAACTTAAAGGCATCCAAAAAGTACTGCATTTTTTTCCATTTAAGGAATTGAATTTTCAGTACATGTAATGGAGAAAGGCTGCAAAGGTGCTTTATATTTGCCGGCCAGTATTGGTTGAGGCCTATCTATGCGACGCAAGGTTCCTAATTCGGAAAATTGGCAGTTTCGAAAACGCCTTCCAATGTGGCGTGATGCCTCCTGCGTTCCGGAGAGTACAAATAGTTGTATCATTGCGCCTTAGCAATGCGATGGAAGATTAATATTGAATCAGCCTCCACGTTGCGGCGTGGTCAGATTCCCTTTACCGCTGATGCAGTTTTGACCGCAAAGTTTAAAGTTTAAGTGTGATCAAGTTAGGCTTGAATTTAGTGAAAAGATAATATTTTAAAAGAATTGAAAGTAAACAAGCGCAGGAAGAAATATAACTAAATTATATGAACTCAATTTTAAAATCAACTTAAAGGCATCGAAAATGTACTGCAATTTTTTTTTCCTTTTGAGGAATTGAATTTTCAGTACATGTACTGAAGAAGGGCTGCAAAAGTGCCTAATATTTGCCGTCCAGTATTGCTTGACGCCTATCTATGCGACGTAAGGTTTGGGGTTCGGAAAATTGGCAGTTTCGAAAACGCCTTCAAACGTGGCGTGATACCTCCCGCGTTCCGGAGAGTACGAATAGTTGTATCATTGCGCCTTAGCAATGCGATGGAAGATTGATATTGAATCAGCCTTGAAGATTGATATTGAATCAGGTCAGTTTTCCTTTACCGCTGTTGCAGCTTTGACCGCAAAGTTTAAGTGTGACCAAGTTAGGCTTGTATTTAGTGAAAAGATAATCTTTAGAGGATAATATTATATAATATTTGTTTTGATGTAGAGGTGGACTCTCAGGGTAGGGTGGGATATCCCCTCCGTTTTACCCTCACTTTGAGAGCTTTTTTTGAGCTTGGGAGATGATTTCAGAGAAAACCAGTGGCACCATCTTGTTTCTCGCAAACTTTTACATAAGAATCAATGGTCAAATCGCAAATCCCTCCCACATGCAACAACTCTATTCCGGAAAATATTGAAAAGGACAGAATAGCTGATCAGCTTGCGCATGCTGTAGGCGGGAAACACTAAGAAGAGCGCGTTGTGTGTAAGGCACTACGGAAGGGGGGGGGTTCAAATGAAGGGGCTAGAACGAAATAAGTTCGCATTTCTGCACTTATGATATGAGATTAGAGCACTTAAGAATCGGGATTTTTCCGTTGAAAAATGCTAGTTGGGAAGGACAGGATACTCTTGTTCTGTTACCGATTTCTTCGTTATTTTTTTTTTGTTTGTTGTTTTTGCAAGGTGGGGAACAAAACATTCAAGCGCGCTATTTTGAGGGAGCAAAATTGTCCACCGCATTTCTTTATGTGCCGCTCTAAATTTTGCAAAAACTTGAAAAACTTCCTCTTATTTTGGGGAAAACCTTGGAAGTTTCTGTGCCCCTGATGTAAGTCATAGTTCAATGTTTTGAATCCCCCTAAGGATTGAATTTCCAGCCCTTCAGCTTGGTTCAGAGTTTTATCAGTACCATGTATGATCCGAAGATAGACTTAGAGCCTAAATTTTTAGATTGTCAAAAGAAAAAGAATTTGGTTGAAAAGATGGAAAATGTTCGGATGGGCAGTTGCAAAACAAAAACACCTGGCTGCGATGGGACACAAGTTTGCACTCATTAAAGCTTCCAAATTTTGAATGAAAAACAACGAGCCTGAAATGGGACTTTGCATTGTGGTCACAGTGACCTGGGTTCGAATCACCTGGGTTAGTACAGCCACAATGCAGGGTCTTAAGTATTTCATGCTCCCTATTTTTCATTAAAAAAATTAAAAAACCTTATTGATCCATGGTTGTATCCAATCATAGCTGGGAATTTTCGTTTTGAGACAGCTCATCCCTGCTTTTCAGCTTTCTCAGCCAAATTATATATTTTCTTTTTTTTTTTTTGCTGGGTTTTGATTGGTGCAGTATTCTGCCATGCAATGCAAAAACGCTGTAAACGCCGGTTCACATTTTTTGGAAACAATGTATCACAGCAGAAAAACTTGTGTATCTTGGGACAATGTTTTTACAGAATTTTTTCGCAAATATTATAAAAAACTTGACCTGAAATTTTGAGGTACATGGGTAACGCAGTTAGTATTTTATGAAGTGTTAAGTTCCAAAAAACGAGGGAAAATCTTGATGGATTTACGGCGTTCTTGCTTAGCACCGCAGTATTGCTCTGGGTTATTTTGTGAAGACCATCTGCCATGATCATGATGCTGAAACCTAAATTTTCCAAAAGTGGTAATTTATCAAAATAGTCGGCTCAACCATGACTTAATGATAAAGAATTCCATTCGGTAAAATTGAGCCGAAAGGCACCAGTATAGTTCTTAAGAGTTAAAATTATGGTTTAATGTTTTAACATTTTCCCTAAAGGAACAATTTTCATTCCATCTATTTGGTTCAAAGTCTTTGTCAGTCCTCTAGATAATCGGAGGATGGACTTGAAGGCCTTTTTCGGAAAATGGGACTTAGCCTGAAAGTGTAAACACTTTTTGGGAAGCCTCTGGCAAAACCTAAAGTCTATATGGCTTAGCAGCACTACTAAAAACATACATGAATAAATTCAAGCTTCGATTTTATTTTTTTGTCAAAACAAAGAATGGACTGGGGACATTTTAAAATAGACAGTGAATATTCTTAGACTAACTCCATACAAATAACAACAAAACTCTTGCAAAACATTGAAAAAACAAGAGTTTAACATGTTAAAACTAGTATTATAAATATAGATTAAAAAAAAAACAAAGTATATTGATGAATAAAAATGCATGGTCTGCACTGCCACACTTTGATCACATATAATCGGGACTTATTATCAAGTTAGCTATTGAGTTAATTACATATTTTTTTTTACATACTTTGTTCCTGATGAAAAACTGAAAAGACCGGCTTTCAGAATTGCAGTTATAAGAACAAGGGCCCTTTTGATTTAGCCATGATGTTATCAGACTGAATGAATGACTAGAAAATTTAGTCGGTAATAAATCATTCATAATTTAGTAATTTTCATCGGTGTAGGATTCTGAGAAAAGCAAATCATTCTGATGTCTTTTATTCTATTCCACTATTTTTAATTGGTCCATGAATTGACCACAGAAAACGTTGTTGGAAACGTATATTGATGACGTCATCAAAAACATCTGTTGATGATCGCATCAGAAAACACCTTAATGAGCTCAACAAAAGGTCCATCAGTGAAATAATCAGAAAAGTCATGATGGCATCATTAACAAGATTTCCCGCTGACATCATCCTACCTTTTTCCATGAAGTTTCTTTCATGAATGGAGATAACAAGGGACACCTAAAAATCGGCTTGGCTTTTTTTAATAATAAAGTAAAATAATTAGAAAACAAAACAGACTGCAGACTCCTAAAACTTATTTTTTTCCCCTTTAAATTGATTTCATATTTCTGTTGTGATAACAATGCAGAAAATTTCTTTATATGACAACAAATGTGCTTTTAACTTTTGCCCCAAGTCATTTTATCCCTAAGACTTCAGAGTTTTAGTTGTCTTTAAAGATTTTTCGTGCATCCTTTCTTTACGGTCAGGATTAGAGTAAATGTCTTTAAAAGCAAATGCATAAATCATAAATGGACTAAAGTATTCATTCATTAAAACACAAATAATGAAACTAAAGATTACATGGTTGACAAATCAATGGCCAAACTGCGAGACCACCTAACTCCGTTTGTGACATTGCAGACTTCTCGTCGTACTTTATTTTTTTCTTTGGAAAACGACAAGTAGTAAACGTAATTTCTTTCAAACTTCCCTGATTTTTTTCTCTCTTTGCAGATATGCTGCGCAAATTTCAAGCTATGAAGTTGACTTTTTTCTCTTTAAATAAATAAAGAGGAGCGGAAATTTTAAAACACTGCATTAAATAAAATTTGTTTCGTACCTTGGCCATCGATTTGGTATACGTTCATCAGCCATGGGTGGCAGCCACTAATTAGCTTCACCTGTGTTTGGCGCAACTCAAGTTTCACGGGGGCATCACACGACCTTAAGTTAAGAAAATGCATGTAAATTCCAAACTTTTCCACAGCCGTTATGACAGGGTGAGTTATATCTATAAACTGTTAAGATTTTGGAACATTCTCGACATAAGTATTTTACATTTGAATACAGGGTCTGATACCAGCCTTTAATGTCCTACATCTGGTCTAATGTACCTAATATTTGAATTAAATACTTCTGAATATGATTTATTACAAAAAATATCTTGATTGAGCCGTCTTCATCGTGGAATTTCATTTTTCTTCCCTTCGAAAAATATTGAACACAGAAAGAATACTTGAAACAATGATAAAAAAAAGAGAAACCTTTTTTTTAATGCAAAATCTTAACAAAACAATTCTGCTTCATCTTGTTACACTGGTTCTCAAAACTTAAAGATTAACGGATAAAATGTTCTGATAATTCTCCAGTATTCGTACGGAAACTATCCAACATTCAATTAACGTAATTTTTAATAGGTTGCTATTTGAAAATTAGAGGTCCGGGGAATTACTTTTCCTTGCTGTTCAAGATGCCACTTTTGAAAAAGTTGGTGGAAAGTTAAGTTTTTAGCGCTTGTATTAGGCACACTTTTACCGGAGGCACATGAGCAGGTCAATAGGAAAAACGTTTATCGAACAGCGTCACATTGCCACTGTCACGACAACAAACAAATTTTAACTTTTAAAGCTCAAACTTTACTTTCTATAACCATTCTCTCAAGAACCGCATTATGAACAGATAGAAAAAAGTGATGTCCTTGGACAATTGCTTTGAGGAGCCTGAAATACTTACCTACAAAGGGTCTACTTGGCTGGATTGCCAATTCCATACTCAGTCCTGTTTCCTCTCTTTAAAATCATTCGTGCTGTTTCACGCTGGATTTGAGTCACTTTCAGAGAAGGAATCAGGACCAGATAAGGAACTGACTTCGTCACTCACTTCCTCGATGTCATTGTCATCTCCTTCGTTTCGATTGCTGTTTCCAAATTCCTGAAAAATACAAAATTTAAAGATTAAATTGCATCAAGCATTCAAGTACTTTAACTGTGCACAACATATTTTGAAGCAGTAAGACACTAAATGGAAATCCTACACTTAGAGAATTCTCATTTTTAAACATCAAAGATATATGAAAAATTCAGCTTCATTTCTAGTTCGTTATAAGTATAGTTTATGTAGCAGGGTGGGTTCTGGAGGGAACATTTTTAAGCAATCTATTTGTTTCACAGTGAGTTATGGGAGGAGAGTTTCTGTATAAACTGTTCTCAAGAAGTGTCCATAGGCATAAGAATTTTGGTCGAATGCCTTATTACATTGCGGTTGACAAACAAAAAGTTCAGGAAAAATTTTCCTTGACATAGTGGATCGTCTGGAAAATAAATTTCCATCTCATCGTTCCTGAGCCTTGTAGACAGGAGGGTATTTTACTTTCATTTGATTGATTAAGAAAAAAACCGAGACCTGTGTAATGTGCAAAGATGGATTGATTCAAGGAAATACACTTCAACAGAGAAACTACCAGACCATATATCTTATTTGCGATGTTTAAAAATCTTCGCTCTCATTTTATTTTTATGAGGGAGAACAAATCAATATCATTCCTTAAAGTTTACAAAACATTTTCTTCACACAGGAAGAGTAATCACGGCAGTTTTCAAGAATTGGCGCTAAGTAGTTTTCCATCTAAAAAATAAAGCATGATAGGAAGTCCGCAACACAGCAAACTGAGATACATGGTCTGATAGTTCTACCGTCAACTTGCTTCACATGGTTGATCTGTGGGTCTCTGAAAAAGGGGGAAACAACTTGGCTAACACAATCACCTTAAAACGTTCGCAATGACTTCATTAATGACTTCAATGATGATTTAACTCACTTGCTATTGGACAATTTTAATCAAGCACTTATACTTTGCATGAGAACACTTGTAATCATTGTAAGTATTATTAACCGGTGGGGTATAATTTGAAGGCTCTTGAACTTACATTTAAAATATATTCAGCATTTGATCTATCTTTGAGTTCTAAGGGGAGACCAAAGTGCTGGGAGAAGTTGGGTTGAATTCCAGTGCTTTCACTGATAAATCGGAATTCTGGCTCCTCAAAATCCTCCGAACCTTCCAGAACATTCTTCAGCTCTTCCCAGGAAAACAAGTAAGACTTGGTAAGCTTCTCATTAAACGGATTGAAGTCGACTAAAAATATGTCAGATTTGTTACCTCCGACACGAACAACGTCGAATACATCTGAAACATTTAAAATGATGAAAAACGTAAAATACAATTCAACCATGAAGCACATAATCAAATCAAATGGGGGGGGGGGGGGTGTATTAAGAAAACAAGATGTCAAAAAGAGGAAAAAACTTTTCTTTTATTTTACTGGCATGTTTTACTGGCATGCATCACATTTGATCAAGTAGAAAATGGAAGTTGGTACTGGAAAAAGTTAAATTTTTACCTATAAAACTGCTTTAAAAAAGTACCAAATAAATAACTTGACTAAGAAGATTTTCCCCAAAAAAATCTGCTATAAGACATTTCTAATTTTATTGAAATAATAGATACAAGCACAACAAGTATCATGAAATCTGACAATACATCTGCGGAAAATCATTTCCTGATTCAAACTGAAGTCCCACTGGTTTGAAATGAACGAGACATTTCAAATTACAAAGAATCCAATGGATTTCTTAAGTTTTTACTGGCCGTTTGGTTCATTTTTCTATTTGAACAAGCTAACCCCTAGACACTCATGTGTTGTCAACCAGATTTCTGAACCTGCAGCATGTGCACACACCTGCTTCCTTGAAAAAATAATTCGAAATAATTCCTTCTCAAATGCACAGAATTACAGAGGAATGGAAATGAAAATTACTTACAGTTATCCAACTCAAATTTGTTCTTGATATTCTGCTCAAAAAAAGTGCAGACCTCCCTGAGGATATCCATTTTGGAACTGAGAAGGTGCTTGTGAAAATCAATGCAGTCTCGTTGAGTTATACCTGTGAAGAAAACGAATAAAATATTGAAAAATCCTGCTCACAAAATTATACAAACTAGCAAAAAAATTACACTTAAAAGAGAGGGATTTAATGATGTGTTTTTAATTTTGCAGTCCAGCTATTTCAAAAGGGCTCTGGAGTTATATCTCTACCTACCAGATGCCAATCAAAAGAAGCACCTAAAAATCACGAAAAGCTATCTGTGCTATCTATGTCATGAAAAGTGAGGGCTGAAGGATAGAGTTAGTGATTGGATTAGGCCATTGATTAAGGGTTACAACTGTTGGCTTGTTCATATGATGCGGGGTCACAGAAGCCAATCAACCCTTGGACTGACCGGGCCACTTATCTGACTCAACCTCTCAGCCACCATTTTTCGTCGCGTGCACTTTGGTACCTTTGGCCTTTATTTTGAGGCACTTTTTTGACAACCACTGACTTCAAGGGCCCTTAAAAAATTGATAAGATTCTGATCAGAAATAAACGATTGCTTTTCATAATGTTTCATACACTATTATGACTGCTTCAGAAATTTTTATGGTTCCCAGAAAATGATGGATAAATAACCGCTAAAAATAAAACTTATTGGCCTTCCCATATTTTGAAATTGAGACGGGCTCTCAAATTGAAACTGATAGTTGGCAGACAATGAATTTATTATGTATATTGTGAAAAATGTTGGAGATTTTGATGAGAGACAGTTACTGAACTGTGTTGGACAAACATCAAACATCATTTGATTCAAAATTTCCTGATTGCTGTGAATTAATAAAAAGCCTCTTCTTCAGACCTTTAAATGCTTTGTTCAACATACCATACAGTCGATTATTGATGACAAAACAACGAAACTCTGTTCCAGCATGCATATCCATCCATTTCTTGAGGACCAAAACATACTTCATCTTCCCAAAAGTTTCAGAGTCATCCTGCAAATTGAAAGATATATTTTCGATTAAAAAATTTGTTGGAGAAAATCACGAAGGAGCCTTCGCTTTTAATTTAAAAATAATTTAAGAAACTGAAAAATGTTTTCCTCGTTTATTTAATTTTTTTTCACAAGATTTTGGAGATATTATATGTATGTTCAACATGGTTCAATTTGGCTTAAGTGTTTGAAATTCTAAGTTGCATCCAGAAGTTTTAAGAACTGCAAGCTTCAAACATTCCGTGAAATTTTCCTGTCACATTCGGTACACCATTCAAAGGCATTTTGGGATTTAGAGGGAACAAAACAATTTGTAAGGAGGAAGAAATTGTGAGCTACGTAGGTAGGTAAGTGACAGATTAGTTACCCTTTAAGATAACTTAAAATGAAAAAGTTTAGAAACTATGCACGAATGATCGGAAGCTCCAATTGCAAAACTCAAACGTTGAATGACGGCAAATTACTCACCTCGGCAGAGAAACAAACATCACTACAGACACGACTGGAGGCTTTGAGCAACAGAAATACATCCTCTATATTTTTGCACTTCAGTGTTTTACTTGATGTTATCCAGGCTGCATCCTGAAAAGAAAGAAAATTAATTGCTGTTAACGGGAAAAGAAAATACTGGCGAAGACTTGATCAGTGAAGACAAAATATCTACTTTCTGGATTGGAGAGGCCTCTTTTAGTACATTTCCAATTACAAAATAAATAAAATAAAGGCTTCAGAGTTAAAGTGAAGAGTCTGTTTTTTTAGCCCTGAATTCTTTCCAGTAGAATGTGGTAAATATCTCATGATGAGAAAATATATTCCAAAAAGAGNTTAATTGCTGTTAACGGGAAAAGAAAATACTGGCGAAGACTTGATCAGTGAAGACAAAATATCTACTTTCTGGATTGGAGAGGCCTCTTTTAGTACATTTCCAATTACAAAATAAATAAAATAAAGGCTTCAGAGTTAAAGTGAAGAGTCTGTTTTTTTAGCCCTGAATTCTTTCCAGTAGAATGTGGTAAATATCTCATGATGAGAAAATATATTCCAATTTTAGAGCTTATGTAACTGAGAAAAATAAAAGTCATCCTGTAGTACAACTAAACATAATAAATGTGTCTACTTACGGTTGGTGCATGCCAATTCAGTTTGACAAAGACATCACCACCTAGTTCCTTCATACGCCGCTGGAGACATTCACAGAAGGCTGGAAATGAGGGTTGCTGAAAAATTAAAGGATGGTTTTACATTTTTTGGCAAAGAAGAAATTGCTACAAGCTAAAACAAAATGGTTGGAAGTATCCAAGCAGTTTGAACTGTACTTGATACAAATTGGAGCAATTTGTTACTCTTATTATTATTATTATTATCATCATCATAATAACTGACAAGTTCCAAAATCGTGATCCTATTTGTTTTTTAAATTAAGTCAGAAATCAACAGCCAAGTTGAAACTAAAATTAGAAAACATGTTCCAGAGATGTTTAATGGAAATTTGAGATTATAAATTGTGGACTAAAAATTTATTATGTAACAGAGCAATATTCACCTGTCAGTTGCTATGTCTGACACCATCCTAAAATTCAGACTGATGTTAGATACTATCACCAAACAATGCCACTAACTTGTAAGTTAAAAAAAGTGAAAAATGATTTTTATGAAAAATTTTAGGGGAGATTTCTTGGATGGTAAGGAAAAATTATGCAAATCTTTATTCAGTAGGATACTTAAACATAGTTGACTGCGTCTATTCTCACAATTCATAAACGAGAGACAAGAAGTTTAAGCTGCTAGAACTGGGGAAAGAAAAGAAGAGACATATATCACATCAGAGAACAGCACCATTCAACTTAAAGGACCCCGCACGGTTCTTATGGAAAATGGCCCTCGGTCAAATGCGTTGAAACTTCAGTATGTTGTGCAGCATGTCATCGTGAACAAAAGTTCCAATAGGCCAAACAAGATCCCATGTGCGGTTTTCGAGATATTCGCCGTTTTATGTGCGCAACCGGAGGTTTCGCGCGCTCCCGCCGGAGCCATACCATTGTGCGGCGCCGCTCGTGCCCTTCCCTCCCAGTCACTCTCCGCTGCCCCGCCGCCCATACCTTGGCTCCTCTATCGCTCCAACTACGACGCTCACGAGGCTGCGCCCATCATTACCGGACCGCGCCCGCACGCCGTCTTCTTACGCGGCCTCTTCTTCGGCCATGTCGCCTCTTTTTCTCATCGATCCTTTCTCTAAGTCTTCAAAAACGTTTAAGAAGTCCATTTTTACTAAACATGATAATGCTAATATCACAAATAATACAAAAAGAGAGGAAAAACAAATGATAATCCATGCGAAAGTACGTAGGAGAGTTGGGATGCCTAAGATACGTTAAATAAAACGAACTTTTTTAAATTTTCTTCCCTCTTCCTTTCTTTCTTTTTTTTCTTCATTTTTCTCATGTGGAAGCAGTGAAAGTAACTTCTGTCGGAAGATGATGTTGATGTTTTTTCTTTTTTTTTTCTTTCTTTCAATAATGACGTGGCGGAGGTTGAGGGTAATTAGTCGGCTGACGATGCCCAAGTAGGAATTAAGTTTGCTTTAGTCTTGACTTAGCTGACAAAAGGCCGCGTACGCGCATGAATGTTACGGTCGACCTGCAACTCTTTTTCATCATCTCTATGGAGTTTGTCTTGGATGTACGATCTGATTAGAGGATACGATCAGCAGATAATAAGATGGCCGATAAGGTGGTGCTGCAAGTTGGAGCGACTTAAGATGTGACCATTTACGCCTAAATGGACATCTCTCTTCCTTGAGTTCAGTTATTAATGATCCCTCTCTCCTCCTCCATTGGTGCGGTTCAGCTAAGTCTAGACTAAAGCAAACTTAATTCCTACTTGGGCATCGTCAGCCGACTAATTACCCTCAACCTCCGCCACGTCATTATTGGAAGAAAGAAAAAAAAAAAAGAAAAAACATCAACATCATCTTCCGACAGAAGTTACTTTCACTGCTTCCACATGAGAAAAATGAAGAAAAAAAAGAAAGAAAGGAAGAGGGAAGAAAATTTAAAAAAGTTCGTTTTATTTAACGTATCTTAGGCATCCCAACTCTCCTACGTACTTTCGCATGGATTATCATTTGTTTTTCCTCTCTTTTTGTATTATTTGTGATATTAGCATTATCATGTTTAGTAAAAATGGACTTCTTAAACGTTTTTGAAGACTTAGAGAAAGGATCGATGAGAAAAAGAGGCGACATGGCCGAAGAAGAGGCCGCGTAAGAAGACGGCGTGCGGGCGCGGTCCGGTAATGATGGGCGCAGCCTCGTGAGCGTCGTAGTTGGAGCGATAGAGGAGCCAAGGTATGGGCGGCGGGGCAGCGGAGAGTGACTGGGAGGGAAGGGCACGAGCGGCGCCGCACAATGGTATGGCTCCGGCGGGAGCGCGCGAAACCTCCGGTTGCGCACATAAAACGGCGAATATCTCGAAAACCGCACATGGGATCTTGTTTGGCCTATTGGAACTTTTGTTCACGATGACATGCTGCACAACATACTGAAGTTTCAACGCATTTGACCGAGGGCCATTTTCCATAAGAACCGTGCGGGGTCCTTTATGTGGTAACTAATGAGCCAACTGATGATTGATGCATTCAGGTTGATGTGACATTTATCTCTTCTGTTGTCTCCATAGAATACATAGAGTTGTAATGTAAGAGGGAGAGCTGGCGCCACTTCTAAGCAATTTCTAGGTCCCAAATTCCAAGACTCCTGTGCAGGTCACTTTTTCGATACATATTTGATTGTTTGCGATACACGGGGACCCGGCCATGGAACTACTACGTATTCCACACCGCCATTTTAGATCGAATATGTATCGATAAAGTGACCCGCACACCGGGCTCAGAACTCATGAAGCAGAACATGGAGCCAGCTCTCCCATTTACATTACGACTGAATGTACTCTATGTTTCTTTCCCAAGTTCTAACTCCACATTTCAATACCTCCTATCTCACATTTACAAATATGACGGAACACATGATATGAGGATGAACTTACTACTATGTATCCTACTCTATTTACTCTTCTGTATTTGGTACTCTATTCTAATCTGTACCAGTCGATTTCTAATAATTTTTATGCATGTAAGTACGACTAGTACAACACTACAGTCGTATTTTGTTTGCCACAACAATTGTTCCCTGTTACCAATTTTGTGTTATTTGTGTCACTTTTTCACAAACAATGAGAGCAAAGCAGCTAGAAATAAGGTTAGAAATCTTGTTAACAAATGTACACAACAGTCATAACATTCTGCAACCTGCTCCGAGCACGTTGCAAGTGTTACATATCAAAATGTTAGGACAGCGTTGCCATGTTGTGCAAAAAAAATTCCGATTAAATAAACCACGCCCCCTCATTTCCGGTAACACTCAAACAAAATACGAATGTCACACACTGATGCGAAACAGTTACGATTGTTACACCAAACAAAATACGTCTGAGTGCTGTAGGTTGTAGATGTACAAATTGTTAAAATTAAAAATAAAATTACCTCTAGTTCTGGAGTGTCTTCAGCTGCTGAGAGCCAGTCAACACCATCATAATCTGCATGCTCAAAACTGGTGTCACAGAAACTGGCCTCTGGATAGTTGGCCTCTTTAGGCAGAATGAGCCCGTCTTCTCGCAGGTATAAGAGAATGTTCTCTGGGATTGGAATTTCAATTGAGTCAAAAGTGACATGAGCAAAACGATCGCCCCACTTGTCATGACCGCATAAGATAAAGTCATACATTTCTGCCTCGGACATGGAGCCCATCACCTCTCCGCCATGCTCTCCGTCTTGAGCTCCTGAAACAATTGGATCAAAATTAATAAGACCTCTTGTTCTACTTTTGACAACTTCAAAATTAGAGTAAGATGATGTGTCTACAGATTTTAAGGGGCTTATAGCCTCATGGACCCTTGGGGTGCGTTAACTGCTCAACCACACAAACTAAGAAGAACTTACATTAATTAGGGTCAGGGATGCCTTGAAAAGTTGACCATCTAAAATCAAATCAAAACTGAAACTCATCACGTTACTTCAACTAGAATAATGACAAAGATGTTTCCGTATTAAAACTTACCAAAAGAAGTCATCGTGGGTGGAACAGGCGAGGATTAAAACTGAACAATTCCGTCACTGCGTGACTTAAGTGTTACTTAAGCCCGCACAATATTAAGTGCTTTGAAATTGGTTGGAGTCAGATTGCCTCTGATTAAACTTCTTGAACAGAGGGCTGTGATGTTCTTTTTGCTTACAAGTGCCTTTGGACACGATCCGAAGTTAACAATTCCACAAAAAAACAATTCACTGTCATTGATGAGGTAGGTTGAGGAAGTAAGTGCACGCTAGAATTTTTATGTTAGTATGGGAAAAAATTCAAATGATTGGATGGGACACGAACCAAGAGGAAAGCGTAGAATTTAAAAATTAAAAGCTAAAAGATTAAAACATACTAAATTCCTAACCTATAATAACAATCACACCCTCACAAGGTTGCCAGATTACAACGCAAACGCAAACTTGCAAAATATCATGTGCCAACCTGACAAAGTAATTTTTAGAATTTATTGACCATTTATGAAGCTAATATCTATAAATTTTTACTTTTCAACATTTTTAATCAAGTTGAATTGTTAGAAAAATGCAAATTAATGTTTTATTGATCACACTGATATAAAAATTATCTGAAATTTTCAGTGCATTATAGTATTGTGAAATTTGAAAAACTGGATGCAAAATGTAAACATGGCTCTAATCAGCTGTGAATCAATCGTAAACAAAGGAAACGCAAGTCAACTTTTTCCATCTTGAAAGCTCCCAGTTTTTTTAATTTTTAAGCATCATCGATTAGCGTTTTGAGACCAAAGTCTACTATACTGATTGAATATAGAACAATTTTTACTCTATCGTTTGGTTTCTGCAAAATTACCAACCAGTTATATAGGACTGGTGTGATCATTCTCTGAGTGGTTCAACTGTCCAACGATTTGAGCTTTGGCCTTTTCGAGGTTTGTCTTTTTTTTTTTAAATTTCATTTACCCTTCTCTGTTAATTAATTCACTAAATCATTTCCTTCATTTTATCTTTGCTCCAGTAACAGGTGTGTAGGTGTTACATTCAAACCTGCCTATCAATTCGCAGATGGTTAGCAGTGTTAATAGATAATGGTCAAGGAAAGAATTGAATGAACACCTACTGCATTTCGCCCTAACAGCTAGTCGTAGCCCTTAGTTCTAGTCCTTACGCATAATTTCCAGGAAACAAGACCAAAATCAGAACAGTGACTTGTGAGATTGGTTGGTTGAGCGGCAAGCATTGGCATTGTAGAAATAGGTATAATGTCAGGGTGTCGAGTAACTTCTATCTCATATTTCTTATAGAATCGGCTAAACTTCGACATCTGACTCCTCCGCCATTTTAATCCCAGATCATGGATTGTAGANCATACGTACAGGGTTACATAATGATTTCGTACACCAGAAACTAAAGTTTCACCCTTTAAAAGAGCTGAGAGACCAAAGACACAGCTACGCAAGCGTTCAGGGGTCCTTCACACACATACCGATATACTTTCAAAACAAAAACAGCCGGAAAAGGTTAGAAAAAACTCGAGAACCGTGGAGCGTTACGAGACACAGGTTTGGTTAACTCCGCGCGCGGTTGCCGAATCAGATCATGGATTGTAAAAAATATGTTTTGCGCAACCATGGCACATTTGCTCGAGGGAACTAAGAACGTAATCTTAATTTTGTCATGCATAGTGGCTGTCAGGTAGGAAAATTAATGAATATCCCCTTTAGTCTATGCTGATCACACAGTAAGAAATTATAGTTTGACATAGACATGATTTGGTGAAAATTTATGAGGTAAAGATACTGAATTGTCTCTTAGCGGTGAGAGATTAACCTGACATGGAAAACCGAATGGAGTCAGATTCCAAAGTTCTACTGTCTTGAGGTTCAGTGCTCTGACAATGACAGTCTCTTGCTGAAAAGTTTGTGTACTATTTGGTAACATGGAATAGGTCACCAACTTGTAGAAAATTTAGTTCCAACTATGTGCAAACTTTAACCCGATTCATTTGTTTGATTTTAGGCAAAATGGGTCGCGTATTTTTGGAGCATATAGGTGGTTCAAGGATATTCTCTTGTGCATCATGTGACACAGTTCTCACTAATCGCAGCGAACTTATCAGCACCCGATTCACAGGAGCCACAGGTCGAGCATTTCTCTTCAACCGAGTTGTCAATCTTAGTTATAGGTGAGTAATGTTCTCTCTGTACCAGGGAGAAACCCCGTGGAAAATACGGGACTACGGATCTTGCTTGGAAAGGTGTAAGAGCCAGAGCAATCTAGGACACTCTCAGAGAGAAAACAACAAAAAAGGAATGGGTTTAGCCTGCAGGTTGCTTAAAGGTCCAAACAAACTTTTCGTTCTCTACTTCCTCTAAGTTGTACCTACAAAGATTCAATTCAATTTTATTCTTTTCAAATACACATAATTTCATTACAGAGTAGGCTCCATCCACCACCAAGAGCACAGCTCAAGTGGTGGGTGTCAGGACAACTAATCATAGCTCAACTACATAATGTAATTTATAATCTTTTACTTAATAAGTAATTCGATTCAGCGATTGAAATAAAAAATGAAATAATGATAAATAATAATAAATAGAATAAAAATGAAATAATGACAAAGCATAAATAAAGTAGTAAACAAATTTTAAACAAAATAATATGGTTTAACAAAATTTATGGCACACAGCATACTTTAAATCTAAACTTACTTCAAAACTGCAAAATACAGAATACAGATACAGAATGATGTTGTACAGTACTTATGTTTCTATTTATTACTAAATTGTTCCCTAATTTGATGATCATTACAAATGATGAAGAAGAATTAAATAATTGTAAGTAATCCATAAGGTATCTAAGTTGCACACATTTTCATATGTCATAAATCTCGGAAAAATTAGAATGTGTTTTAAAAAGTCATGCTGCAGATCTCAAAGAAACGCATTTTGACATGTTTAATGTGGCGAGCCAAAAAATATAACTTTTTTACCAACAAAAGGGTAATTAAATTTATTTACAATTATCATTTTTTTAAAAAAAAAAAAAAGAAAAAAAGGGAGCCTCAGTAAGTAATTTTTTTTCTGAGAGGTCCTAAATTCCTCAAAGGAATTTTTTCAATTTACTTGTGAGAATTTCCAAACCTTCGCGAAAGTTTGACAAATTTCCGAATTTTGGAGGAGATTAAATGTATCTCATCTGCATTTAATCCTGAGGGAAACTTCATTTTTTCTGGAACATTCGTTAGTTTTTTGTAAATATATACTTTGATCTTTCTACGAGACTTGGTGGAAACGAGAAATCTTTCAGAATGCTAACTCAAGCAATCCAAGTTATTAACAAAAACTTTTTTTGCGTTGCTGTTAATCAACAAATGCAACAATATGCAATAAACAATGCAATCATAATCTGTACATAGATTAGGGTATAGTCTTTACCTCTTCCAAGGGGTACCTCCTCTTTGAGTATCACACCACTAACAGCATACGTTCATTTCTAGCGAGGTTCAAGACAGAGTGATGCTGACTGGACGACACATGGTACGTGATGTCTCTTGCAAAACGTGCGACACAAAGCTCGGATGGATCTACGAGTTTGCGACAGAGGAAAATCAGCGCTATAAAGAAGGCCGTGTCATCTTGGAGCGAGCTCTCGTCACTGAAAGTGATGGAATCGATGAACACATGGGAGACGATTGACTATCTGCGATCTTTCAGAATGTCGAGGTTTGAAGAAATTGTTGTTCAGTCTAAGAACTTTGGTGCCAGCGTACGCTGCTCCTAAAATAGAGTCTGTTTTCTGTTACTGACTCTCTACGTTTATGCATCTGTAGGTGATGGAGGTTTGGTGTCCCAGGCTGAAAAGTCAAATTTTGAAGCACACTTGCTGGAAAATCTATCTAGTTAGGGCAATTTTTATGAATTAAGAGTAGATGCAGCCTCTCAAGAGAAGGAACCTTACCTTCACTTTACTAATGTGAAAAATCCGTCTATTTTGCCATGAGAAAGAGAAATGTCTTCGTTTTCAGTATATTTCTGAAACAGGGCCCAAATTTTGTTGGCTATAGTCGTCTGCAAGTTAATCTTGACTACAAGTTGGGGAAATTATATTCTAAACTGGAAGTTTAAGCAAGTTGAGTTTTTTACATGGCCGTCTCAAGCCATCCTTAGTTCCTTAATGGTGCAAACCATTAATGAGCAATCAATTAACAAAGTCAAAGTTCTTGCCTCAACTTGCAATCGGCTCCAAACTTGGCAACAAAATTTGGTCTTAGAATCATTTTGTCTTTCACTGTCTGTGCGTGAGAAAATTCAAATTTGTTCTACAGTGTAATGAAAGTTTTTAATTTATCAAATCTAATTGAATTCAATGTAATGGACGATCTTCAGCCAACTAGTGCAGACAATGCCAAAATATCTTGCATTTTAGTTTTAATAGCTCACAATTTTCACCTAAAATCGTGGGTAAAGTTATTTTTATACGCATGTATAATTAGCTAAACACCTAATGCTGTAAATTCATATCTAAAGTATGCTTCTACCCCCAAATCTTGATACTAAATTGTCATTGCTTTGTTTCTCATAACATGATACCCACACCTATTGATTGACAAGCAGCATTTATTTTATTTATAATAATTTGATTCCTCACTTAATCAAACAGCCTTTATTAGAAAACTCATTCTCTATCCAGAATTCTAGATTCATTAAAAGAGTTTAAAGTGTATCATAAGATTGTTTTTAGTCTCACAATTATTTTGGAGAGGAGCTGCTATTATAATTTTATGCAACTAAAAAATTCAAGATAGAGAATCAATTTCTCTTTGAATTCTTCAAGCATCTTGAAAGGTAACTATTATAATATTGCAATTGTAAAAACCAGTGAGCTCCATCAAAACAAATTCTGTCAGTTTTGGAGAAAATATTCATGTTTGAACCAACTGCAAGTTTTACAAACAAAAATATAGGTCTTAAGTATAGGTTTGGGTGTAAGTGACCCAGTTTTTAAAAATTCAGTTAATTTCAATTACGTTTTGATGAGGGATAATTTTCTTGATCACTGGTTGCAGATCATTGCCCTCTCAAAAAACCTTTTAATTTTTAATTATTTTGCTATTTATGCCAAAAAATCTCAGTGCATTATTGAGTCAGTGTTCACTTATTAGATATTATAAGACTACGTATTTTGCGAAGTCAGTTTGATCTGCATCGTTTTGACAAATTTAAAAAGATTAATTTGTTCTCAAAGAGAATGATCTTTGTTAAATTCTAACTAGTTATAAAAGACTGCATTTAAAATAGAAAAATGAGACTTTTTAAATAAGTCTCGGTAAACTCTCAATGGGAAATCTGTTCATAAAGTAAAAGATTTGAGATGAATGTATGAAAAAAAATGGTTAAAGTTGGTTACCTAATTAAACTGCTAAAAAGTTCTCTAGTTAGAAAATGGGTTCATTTACAATTTGAAGGAGATGAGATACATTGGAATCATGTATTGGAAAAACCTCATGCATCCAAAAGTATTTAAAAAAAATCTCAGTCCTCACAGATTAGTACATACATTCAAGAGTCAATAATTTCCTGCGATTATTGATAATGGGCCTGTTGCAAACTTTTGCCAGAGCAAAAATAAGAGTTGTCACTCGCTGAGAGTGTTTCAAAAATTATAATGAGCGCATCAGCATAGTCTCTAATGCACTCCTTACTTCACAATTTGCATAAGAAATGTCCGTTTTTTCGAGCTTCCCGCTTCTAAAACGATACCACGGCAAAGGTGAACATTTCGTTTGAAGAGGCATTCCATCCAACCCTTGCTTGCAAGGACACTACGCAATATTCAACATAGCCGACGCCAATTCGCCAACACACATGTGACAGGACAATGATTCTAACCACCTGATAACAATCGGCGTGTTTACATTCACATTGTTCTCGCATTGATAGATATCTGCCTTGATTGACCTCGTGTTCTCCTCAACTTGCGCGCGGAAGCGTCGGCCATGTTGAGCAAGGATTGAATGGAACGACTCCTCTAACAAAATGTCCATCTGTGCCGTAGTATCCTTTTTGAAGCGGGAAGCTCAAAATAATGCAAATTTCTTACGCAGATTATGAAGCTAGGAGTGCAGAATTTGCCGATGCGATCATCGTGATTTTTGAAACATTATCTATAAGGAACAACTCTTATTTTTGCTCAAGCAAAAGTTTGCAAAAGGCCCATTCGATCAATTGATACATACCATTTCATTATTTTTACTGTTCATAAATATTTCCATCCCGTTAATTTCTCACTCAAAATTGAAAAAAAGCAATTTAGATTATTTATTAGTACTCTCAATGAAGTTCTCAGCTTTAAAGAAAGAGAAATTCTGTGAAGAATGTAAAAGTTGTTAATCATTCAGTACAACTTTTGCGATAAGAGTTTCAGCCATTAGAAGTGTACATTTGTTCCTAATCTAAGCCCAATACATTATAGTTTGTTTCAAATAACTTCCACTTTAAATTTGTATTTACTTCTCTTTCTTGAATACATTTTTTGTTAAATTTTTTTTGTATACTTTCGTATATTTGTTCCTCAAGGCGAATAGCTACCTTAACCTTAATGTTTATTCTCTCTTCCTTACTGGTACAAAACTACAGTAGTGAGGCAAATGCTCGAGTACTAGAGTTCAAATTCTGTTGGAATAAGATAAATTTTCACGGATAAGTTGAAAGACCAATCAATGCGGATCAGTCATTTTTTTATATTCATTTAATTAAACAAATTTTATTTTAAATTATCGTGATATAACTTACGAGAAAAATGTGGGTCTAAAATCTTCTCTTTTCCTTTGATGGAATCAAGGTTACTTAGAATATTGTATCAGACTCAGGAATCTTAAGAAACTAGCAGTAAGGGCTTATAAAGTAAATCATTCACATTTTTACAAACAACACTAACTTTATTCACTGAGAAATCACACAATAAAATTCTAATTTAAAAAGTGTAGGAGTGATCATGACTCAATGGTTTGAAAAACTTAGTTAGGTTAGTAGTTAGTTGGTGATATTTAACTATGAATAAATCAGACTTATCAAATTGAAACCATTGATAAAGAAACAAAAATTCAACTCAATTATTTTGGTAAAACAAACAGCTCATTCAATGTAAAATCGAAGGCACAATATTAAAATTATTTTTAAAACTTTGATCAAGGAAACTTTTAAAATAAAAAATGAGGAGTTAATTATCTCAACTCTTAATAATAACTAGGCAACAATAATAAAATGACATTTTTGAATCTCCTCATCATGAAACCTCTTAATCTTAATTTTCTCCAAACTAACAATGCAGGTACATACTTTGAATTTACAGAGTGTTTTAAATCAGAAGACGGAAATTTGATTGATCGATTCTGTAGACTGAAATTAGACATGTATGACATGTATTTTTGAGCCATTTTAAGGGGTAATATCTATAAAGAAATTCATCCTCATAATAACAGCTGCATTTACTGACAATGTTACATGAAATTTGGGACCAGAAGATATTTTTAAGCACTCTGTATTTTTCTGCAGACAAAGAAGGTAAAAACTAAAAAGATGAGGAAGGGCTAGGGCCCCCTAAAAATAAAACTCCCCTTGAAATGGCTCAAATGAAAAGATGACATTAAACAAAATAGTCTTGTTACGATCTGAAGAATCAGTCCCTGAAATTTCCGCCATTCAGTTTAAGACACCCTGTATACATGGCATCATCAGAGTGAAAATAAGCGATACAAACCTATCAATAATATTGAAATTCATTACACAAATATTTACATTAAAAATTACAAATACTTCGAATTCCAAGAATCACGTAGGTAACTTATTTAGCAGCTTTCACTCATTAGCACTCAATAAACTTTCTTCGCAATGTTTCAATTGCCTCATATAAATTCAAATTCACAAATCAAACTCTACGTATAGTGATAATATTACAGAATGATGAAATAACAGAGGTGAAAAAATTAGAAATGTGTAAAACAACAAGAAAATAACCTCACGGGAGATAGGTGCAGACCGAGTTCACGAAAGCAGAACCATGTACATTGACATGTTCATAACATCACCTATTTGAGAAGAGGGCCCAATTGTAGATTTTTAATTACAGAAATAAGGAAAAAAAGTTAGTTTCATTCTGCAAAACTCGGTCCAATTATTGAAGATAGCCACAATACAAAGTCTGTCTAACGAAGGAAGAACGGCCCCTGTGCCGTTCCAGAATTTCTACGGACTTTTAATTTTTTGATTCGAGGACCATCCTACTAATTTGTTTGAAAATTCTGGTGTCTTTCCTTACGAGTATTCGAAAAAAATCACTGAAAATTTCAGGCCAATTCATGCTACAATTTTTCAGTAAAAAAATAAGACATCAGTAAAATTACCTGAAACAGCACAATTACGACAAGTTTCTCCGTGCAGGAGACAATGATTAGTGGTAACATGATTTACAAAGAATACCTATTGTGCGTGGACATTAAAAGTAGACTATGTAAAATTCAAAAAGGAAATACAAAAAACTGACAGAAAGCTATTGTAGAGTAACAAGATCTATCAATAGTAAAGAGTGCGTTGATTTATAGGGTGAAATACTTTAGTTCTGTACTTAGTTCCAGTTTGGGACGTCCCTGGCTTCCTGAAAATTTCTAGACATGGTTGCGCCACCAAAAATATTACTGGTCAATGGCTGAGAAACCAGAAATGCCCCTACCTTTGTTTTTTTATGAGTCTTGAATATTTTGACCATAGACGCTTGTCTCCTCTTTAAATAATGCTGATAAAACAGTTCAGTAATCAGAATATTGCTGCTTTCACATTGGAATGAATTTCAGAATAAACTTCTGAAGGAGAGTGTCCATAAAAACCAAAATCGAAGAATTTTGTTAACTGTGGCAATGCTGGAGTAAACTTGACGTGGATGTAAAACATTATCGCGCAGCATTTGAATTTAAGTGGTGGCTCGAAATCATTTCTAGACAAAATTAAAACTTGTAAGAGTAGGAACTTATACTGATTGTAATTATCTATTCCTTGGCTTAGAACTGCCTGAGAAAAAATATTTGGTTCCTCATAACCACTATTACAACTAAAATAAAAAAGAGAAATTCCTGGAGCTTGGCGCCTTTGGAGAACTAACACTCTTGAAAGATACAAAGTGGCTGTGTCATGTAAGAGTTGGATAGGAATTATGGAGGTTTTCGGTTTTTCAAACACTTCTGTATCCTTGGGCTGGTGCCGTCCGTTGAGATACTAGATAGGCTACGAGAACTATAACAACAAGACCGGCCAGAGCACATCCAACAGCGATTGGAACCATATCAGGAGTAACTTCACAGTTAGTGGCTAGAAAAAAAAACAAAACAAATTATATGATTTTTGGGAATACATTTAATTTGTAGATCAAAAGACTTGATCTGGTTTCTTTGATGAACCTGCTGGCAATATAATAAGGTTTTTTTCAAAATAAATTTATTTCTCTAGAATGTCCCCCCTTAAAGTTTACTGAGGTTATTTTAACATGCCTCTCTCCCGCCGAGAAGTATTTGAAAAAAAAAAAAAATAATAAATTTAAGAAGAAATCCTTCACTTCTGACCAGAGCTGTGCAATTAAGGATTTTTGTATTCAATTATGATTAAAATTGGAAGAAAGGTAAATAATGATCAAATTTTTGTCATCTTGATTTTTTTTGGGTTTTTGTGACCGAAAACGAAGTTCAAGTATAAGAATTCTGAAAGAATTTTTCAAGCTGATACTTTTCATCCAGTACATACTTAGTTCCTCCTTTTTCTGAAGGTTGACTTATTGTCTTTTTTCTGAAAGATCCTTTCCACCTAAAATAAACTGGACTTTTCCTAGCATCTTGGCTCTGGGAGAGGAGAGACGTAGCACAAGACAGAGAGTTAATGATAATAATATTGTAAAATTCGTAACAGAATATGTCCGCCCACCTGCCAACAACTTTTTTTTCCTTTAACGAATCAAAGTTATAATTCGGCAAAAGTTATGATTGCATTAAGTACAAAATTAAAAAGAATTATTAAAGCATGCGTGAGTTTTCCAATTTTGTAGGAAGATATTTCAAACTACAAGTTGCTACTTGAAATCTTTCTTTCTGTTTCATCAATTTCAAAGCAAATGTTCACAGGTGAATTTAAAAAAAAAAAAAAAAAAAAAAAAAAAAAATCCCTGTTACTTTATACAGATTTAGATAAAAATAACAACGTTTTGGACTCAATTAAATAATTAAAATTTGTTTGAATTTCAGTAATTTGTCAACTAACAACCAAGAGTTAACTTACGACTTCCGAAGGCCAAATTATCTGTTTCATTCCGTTTGAATGCCTCAACTTGCAACTGGGAAAAGATCACATGTGCCGAGGTGAAATTGAGATCTTTACGATTTGTTGCATCATATGATAGGTCATAGCTGTTGGATTTCAAACACTTGTAGGACATTCCCACATGCGAATTGAAAAAGCATGTTACGTTATTGTAGAAAGCTGGAAGAAAGACATTATGTTAATCAAGATGAATGAGAAAAATTCGAAAAGTAGAGATAGAAATTGGGTAGAAAACTGTTCATTAGTATTTTTAGATATTAACCTGCACATATACATGTTCCTTGATGAAAAGGAAAGAAAATAATGTCTCGTGATTAGAAACCAGGATCTATAGCAGGAAATAAATACTAACAAGACTTCATAATCTTCCATTTATGAATAACGTCTGCATCAAGCTGCTTTAAGGCATTTTCAGTTCAGTTTAAAACTTGAGCAAAAGAATTTCGTCCACTAAAGAGAGAGCCTCTCCATTTTTGGAAGAAAGTGTACAATTCAAAGATTTTAACTAGCCTGGCACACTTCCTTCCAAACAATTTTCAAGGCTATGACCCTTTTTTTGTCCTTTTTGTACACACGTTGCTGCAATTTTGCAAAAATACGCGACCATTAAGAACATGCAAATTTCACAGCAATTTTCGAGAGAACCATGCGATTTGGACGCAATGGCACTACCATTCAAAGCTTTCCCATTTTGTGGGATCAAAGAGTTTCTACCTCTGTGAATTGTGTCTGATGGAAAAAAGGTGTTTCTGAGTAGCTTACACAATGGTACATTTTGGTGTGTTTTTTGTGTCTTTGATGGAATCGGTAGATTCACGAGACCAGAGATGTTTGCTATTCTCCAAATATGAGATCCGCTGTCATCAGAAAATGTGAACTGAATTGATTCGTTTTTTTTCTGCCCAGTTCCATTGGATGGCCATGATAGAATGAGCGTTCCAGTTGAACAATCTCCACTGGCTATAGCTTTTTTGGGAATTGTTATTTCACTGTCCCCAGAATCCTGGAATAAAAAAAAAATCATCGTGAGGTTATTATCAGTGCCTACATATACATATGTCTGTTACTAGCCGTTCTGGGCGCGCTTCGCGCGTCCGTCACGGCCAGCCAAGGGGCTGCGCCCCCAGGACCCTCGATCACTCGCTACGCGAGTGACATTCGGCTCGCTCCGCGAGCCAGTTTTCTCAGTGATTGGACATTTAATCACTAAGATGTATACATTTTGGAGACTCTGGACTTCGGGAGGCATAAATGATTTCGTCACAGAACCTTGTTGCCGGAGCGTGCCATCATTTGCACATGAATAGGTGTGTGGAGATGAAGCGATGATGGGGATCGATCATTTCCTCAAAAACGCATTTGACTGGGACGTGGTCCCATCGGATGACGGAAAAAGACAATCCATGGGTCTCCTTCCGCGATTTGACTTGCTGAAGTAGCAAAAGTTCACATTTACCTCTAAAGAAGATTATCGGTGGCGTAGAGGTCTAAAAACTGCTCAACGATAGTATAGTTTCGAGTTCCGAATCGCAATGAGCCCACTCGTGTTTTTTTTTTTATACTTTCATCGCATATAAATTTCTCTGATGTTTTTGTTTTATTCTCTCTGATTGCATACTAGTGATCACATCCTCATTTCATTTCCTTTCCCTTTCCTGTTTCCCTCTCTGTAGCATTTGTGTCCATTTACAATTATTATTTTAAAATAGCTTTCCTCTAGCACACAATTGATGCTTCAAACGGAATCAATTGTTTAAATGACATTTCCGAATGAATCGTGGGTTTTTCCAGGAAGGCAGCCTCACGTCCCTCCCGGACTCTATTGTTGCCTGACAAGTTGCTTTTTAGCACTTTTCCCAATCCAAATCCATGTAAAATATTCACATTTATCGCACAATCTGGCAACCTCTCGAGTGAAATAGAAAAAGGTAGAATCGCTGAAAGTCTGAATCCTTCGAAGTTTATATTAATGATGTCATATTGATGATCAAAGTTCGAAACCGTGTATGTCCATTACGGAGTTTTAGAAATATGGCTACTTCCTTACTTTTCAGAAGAGAAACATGGCAATTTCATAGCTTGAAATTTATAAACAATATTCTGTCAATAGAGAAGAAAAATCAAGGCAGTAAGTCCGCAACTTTACAAACAGAGATACATGGTATTGCACTATGGCCATCGATATTCTGATTCATAAATCCAATCATTGCAATATTACATTAATATCAGCTGAAAGGATTTCTACTTGCACGGAACGATCCACTTAATCAAGGCCAGTTTTTTTCTGGTAGCAAAGGTCATTTCAGCCAAATCTTTCGGGGCGGGGAAATGTTGGGGGGGGGGGTG